CCTTTTGTTTGGCTGGAAGCCATAGGTGTGGGTTCAATTCTAGACCTGAAGGGCAGTTAGGGGCCATAGTCTCAGTGGTTCCACCAGGTTCTATCAGACCAGCAAACCTGGTTCCCCACCCCCCCTTTTTTTTTAATGATTTTCAGTTTTGTTCCACACTGTTCTCCCACTCCATCTAGGATCTCCTACATAGACTTCCCTCCAAGTGCTTGACAGTGGTAGCCAGGCACCATCTAGTTCTTCTGGTCTTCTAGTTATACAGGCTGAGGATCGCATAGTGTACCAGTTGCTAGGACTAATTGTTTCCATGGATCTTTGGTTTTCTTCATTCTTCTTTGCTCTGGATGAGGAGAGACCCATCGTTGCATCTAGATGGCTGCTTACAAGCTTTTACAATCCCAGTTGCCCCTCGCCACAGGAGACAGCATGTTTTGTGTGGTGTGTCATGCTCACTGAGTCTGATGAAGGCCTGGCAATCTTCTTCCAGAGGCTGCAGCTTTGAGGACCCTACGAAGCAGCTCTATTTGCACACACGGGTGCCATGAGTGGGAGCCAACAGCAACCAACAACACACCGGTATATTTCCAAAATCACAAAACCCCAACTCTTTTGGACTCAGTGTATATGGTGAAAGGCATTCTCCTTTTTTAAGATATTAAATTATGAGCTACTGAAAAAGAACCAAACAGAATTAGCTGCTTTGAATAGCCTGTTTTAAATGCAAAATTAAAGTTGGTGAAAAGCATCCATGCCAGGCACACAGGCCCTTTGCTCTGGCTCCCATGGGAGGTGCAAGCATGGACAAGCAACAGGAGGTGATGGGAAGGTATCCCCAGAACAGTCAGCTAGGCCACTCTCTGAAAAGCGGACACCCCCATGGAAGTGGGCCAGCCCAAAGCACCTGTACCTTGTCATGGCCCCCAAGGTGTTGTCACAACCTCAACCTGTAAGACAGTGGACTGGGCTGAGACCGGCTGCTTCTTCAATGCCTCCTACCATATTGCTGAGGTTGCAGCAATTCTTTCTCCTTATTTTGGTTGATGATATTCCTACACATGTATTTGTGCTATAAAAATATCCATACACATTATAGAAGTAACAGGGGACAAGGTTGGAGTAGCATCTCAGTGACAACCAAGCACCTTGAGGGAGTGAGTCACCAGCTCTGTGGGCTCAGGATCATGGTCTTGGGGGTGTACATCAAGCTCAATGGGCACAACATACCACATAAAAATCTTATTATATCTCCTACTTTGGTGAGTAGCAACTGGGGTCTTAAAAGCTTTTGAGTAGCCATCTAAGAAACAACTATTGGTCTCCCCTCATCTGGAGCAAGTAAGAGTGAAGAAAATCAAATCCTATGGAAACAGTAAGCCCAAAGGTCTGATGGACCAGAGGTACCTCAGCCTTCACAACCCTGAGACCAGAAGAACTAGATGGTGCCCAGCTACCAATGCCAACTACTCAGAAAGGGATCAAAATTGGAGATCCTGGATAAAGTGGGAGGAAAAATGTGGAACAGAATTAAAAAACACAAAAAGGACCAGAATTACTGGTCAGATAGAGACTGGTGGAACCCTAAGACTATTACCCCAGGTTATCCTTCAGGGCTGGAACTGACTCACTTCCATGGATTGGCTCTCAGGCAAAGAGCAGAGAGACCTACGAGCAGCACACCTACCCCAGGGAGATGCACCCCTTAGATCAACCATGAGACATCAGAGGGGCAGCATTTGCATAGAGGGAAAGCTGGACAGACAGGAATGCATTGATGAGAAGGGCAGGGGTGGGGGTGGTCACAGGGAGGAGAGCTTTTCATCACTGAGATCATAATCGGGATGTGAAACGAAATGTGCATGAACCATTGACAGCAAAACCAATCTGCTTTGTAAATTTGTACCCAAATCACAATTAAAAATATTATAAAAAAAAGAAAAAAAGTTTTCTACTTTGGCAGACCACATGTGCTCCCAGCCTCCCATAGTGGTGCTGGATGCACAGGGGGGACTGGGTGGGAGAGGTGGGGCAAGCAGACAGAACCAAACTGCCAGCTCCTGCCTGGAGCCTGCTCAGTTCTCCAGGCCCCGGCCAGGCCACCCAGGAGGCAGACCCAGAGGAGCTGGTGAGCTGTGGGTGTGAGCACTGGTGTGGGCTTGGGGCACACAGCTCCCACGCCAAGAGGCCAGAGGAGTCTGGTAGCCTGGTGCCCTGGCTACCAACTCTGAACTGGTGACCAAGGCATAGTGTCAAGGGGGCAGGGGCCAGCTGGGGGAGAGCAGGGGTATGTGACTGACACATTTCTAAGCAGGCAACTGGACGCTTCTCCACCAAAGCAGGCAGGTGATTTGGGACCTCTTCCTGTCTTCGTGAGCGAGGCTATCAACAGTGTTGGTTTGCACTCCACCCTCGCCCACCAATTTATCACATAATGTGGATATTTGTTCTTCAAACAACTCGGGATATAAAGGCTCAACCAGGGATGTCCCTTTGAACGGGCTAGAGTAAGAAAACCCTGCAGTGGGCTGGGGGCAGACGCAGCCTCCAGATCACGAGTGAGGAGTCCCAAAAGGCTGACACCGCTCAGTGCTTTAACGGTAGCTTTGCTAGAGCATTTGACTGCTAACCAGAAGGGTGGTGGTTCAAACCCATCAGCCACTCCATGGAAGGAAGACCGGGCCTTGGAAACCCAACGGGGGTCGCTATGAGTCAGAATCGACTTGATGGCAGTGGTTTTGGTTTAGTTTTTTGGTTTTGAATCTGCAGACGGGCTGTTGCCAGCTGCTGACAAGCCTTGGCCTAGTCAGACGCTGAGGCACAGACAGGCCTGGTGAAGCCATGGGGCCCACTGCAGGGGCTCCAAGACTCATCTGGCCCTAGCAGGCTGGGGAAGGGGAGTGGGAGTGGGCGGCAATGGGGCCAGCAGCGGGGCCCAGCTCCTCAAGCAGAGAGAAGACGCCGCCCAGAAGAGGCCTCAGAGAGCCCAGTTCAAGCCGCTGAGGGCTGGAGACACGGTTTAAAAGAGCAGGAGCAAGCAGCCCCAGCCCATGCCAGAAGGTATCCCCATTCTAACGGACTCAGGGCAGCTCCCTGTGTGTGCCTTTGAGTGTGTAAACAGTTACTACCGAGGGATTAGCAGGCTTTCTTGTTCGGATTGGAATGGGGGAGGAACAGCGACGCCAGCTTTCATCCAGGCCCCAGAAGCCAAGCTCCCAGGGCCTCCCAGCTGCGTTTCAGCTGAAGTCCCTGCACCACTCTCCAAGGGGACACCCAGTTCAAAACGAGAACCGTGCGGCCTGCAGTGCAGGAAATGCAGAACGAGAAGCCAGTGCCCCGGGGAGACGGTCCATACAAGGCCTCCTCCCTGCACACCC